AATTCTGACCATGAAATCAAAAAACATATACTTAGATTGTGACATCCTTTAATCCGGTCCGAGATATTTTACCCAATACATGCTTATTTTTTATCTTTGTCTTGTATTCATCTCTGTGTATTGTCAGAGGTGTATGGGTTCTTTAATTGCTGCGTTTTTTTTATTTTATTTTAGTTTTTTTTCAAATTTCAGTTCTAAGTATAATTTTATATATTTTTTAATATAAAAAAGGGTTCCTGAAAACACATGTAAACAAGTGTTTCGGGCACCCAAAGATACGATGCGATATGTCTGATGAGGGTGCATCGTATCGATACTTTGAACCTTCCCGTATTTGTACTGATTAAATATAGTGTATACTTCAAATTTGTTATTTGGAAGGAGTACAAATAGTAGAGTGCAAAACTGTGTATTCTGTATTATTTTGTATGTATTTCTACTGTACATATTTGCATTTGTATCCTTTACAAATTGAGCCTAATACAAATATGTACAATGTGCAAAACAGGGCTTAGAAATACAGAATACATGTCATTAAACCGAAGTGAATTTGCACTCATTCATATTTACAAGCATTTTGGTGAAAATAATATATATCTTGTACTGAAAATGAAAGTAATTTTGGGGTGGATGGGCAAGCAAAATTGCTCCACAAAAGGAGATTTGGAAATACAAAATCAAAGCCAGTACAGGTTGTAATTTCAGCACCCCATATAAAGCAGACAAGAAGTAGGTAAATAAATTCCCATACATGGACAGACAAAGAATGTGAATATAAACCCATGGATGCCCTTCACAAATTCCTTACAAACGTAACCTCTTGTCTCCGACTATCCGATCCCTAGAGGAATTTCTTTATTGTTTAATGAAGTGGAGACAAATTAGTATATCTATGTTTATTATTTTAAAATAAGCATGCACTCTGTTTCAACCCAAAACTCTCATTAATTTGGGTGGACCATTTCGGAACCGCTTCCCTTTATGACTTGTCCAGATTTTGAAAAAGCTATCCTACATTGTTTGGTGGTGGAAAGTGGAAACACAAGAAAGAAAGTCGTCCCGACTTGCTAAGCTCAAAATTTCCAGAGTTAAATGATAAGCGTCCTAAGAATCTTCTCGTGACCAAAGAGGCTTAAGTTAACAACTCCCAAACAGGTCCCTCAATCTAATTAGCAGGGCGATCGAGGATAGTAGAGGTGGAAACAGGCTGTTCTGGTAGCCCCCTTAATTGCTAAATGCTAACCTCACCGTTTTGATTCAATTCCAACTGGATTAAGAGAGTTGCTGGAGCAACGTACCTTTTAAAAACCTGTGTAACAACTGAGTCAAACTAATTTATTGCATTGGTTTAACAAGTCAGAAAGGTCAATTTTCCATGTTTATAAAGGGTACCCTTGGACCAATTACATTTCTATATTCATGTATATTTGAACGCACAACACAATCCTCTGAAAGCGATTTATATTATACATTGTTACAGTGAATATTTGAAAATAATAATTACAAAGTGAATGCTGCTGCATCGTTACTACTCCCGATTTTTCAATCAACTATTTCGACTTATGGCTATTTGCCACCTCTACATTGCCATTTTTCCACCAATCCACAGAAAATTACTCTAGTTTATTTTATTTTTAATTAAATTAAGCAAGAAAAATTACAGAATACAAATTCCTACTTGAGAAACTGCTATTCCATCTTCAGATCTATTTGTTCCGTACATTCAGAAGTATTCAGAAGTGGAGAACCCCCCACCGATATTATAGCTCGTCCTTCAGAAGTTGAGAAACCAGTTGGCAAAATTAGTCTACAGCATGCATACTAATACGGAGAGAATTAATCAAAAGAGAGCCACCAACAAATAAATAATAGAATGGGTTGGTTGGATATCAATTTTATTTATGCCAAAATTAAATAAACCATATCTCTCCAAGATTTACTACTAAGAGATGAATCACGGAATCAGGTTGTCAAATGGGATAGCTAGCACATGTCAGGACATCACCATTCACCATGCTTGTAAAACATGTTTTAGAGGCGAATAGATGAATGAAAAAACACCATCATATCAATAAGGAGGCAATAACCCAATTTCGTTTAACATGTTAATTACAAAAGTTTTTACATTCCCATAAGCCCAAATTATTAATTAGTTTTCCATTTACTTACAAGTAGAATGGCCAGGCCCCCTGGTGGCTGGTGCTAATTATAAAAGTGTGAAAGACAAAGGTTACCAACCATGACATAGCTAGCGCAGGTCCCTATGCACCATGCAATAAATCCAACAGTTCAATGATTTTTATTCATTCAATAAATGCTGCCATTTGGGAATCCCATTCCAACCAAACTATAGTACTGGCACGATTCCCCACTCACCCAAATCTAATGGTTATAAAGCTACAGTACAGGTACAGATCAATTTCAAAATTTAGGTGATTTCACGCATTAAATCAGCGGTTTAATTGTAAGATGGGATGGGATTGAGACTTAATTTGACAGATCCTACCTCATCTCATGATCGTTATAATGTGATGGACTGATTAATACTATCTAGTATCTTACACACAAAAGCTGGAAACTAGCCTACCCAATCTTGGGTACGTAGTTGCAAGTTCCAGACAAAACCCAAGTAGTAGGAGGTAATGGGTATGCCTCTCTCTCTCTCTCTCATCCTGCTCCCTATCTTGCTATGCTGGTTGAGCGCCCACATGTTCCAAACCAAAGGGAAAGAAACATGACATGAGACCGAGACTTTGAAATCGTCGTCCCCGACATCTAGTATCACTATCGACTTTCTCGAACAAGGACTTACCCACATTTCACTTCAGTTACTTAAAAAAAGCACCACCACTTCACAGTCTTCTTCCCCCAAGTGATATAACCAAGGGAGATAAGATTTACAATAAAAAGGGGGAAAAAGCATTTAGAAAAGAGAAAATAAAAAAACATTAAATTCAAACACTCCCGTCCCCATGTACCCAATAAACCACTAGTTTGGGTTCGAGCTGACCCGGTCTGTAGACATTCATATCAGATGGCATAACCTTATACAACAACACACTCCCTTCTTTTTCTTTTATACTTCCCAGAATGGTAAAGTAATGAAAAGCTTGTGATCATCTCTGTAAGTTGTGTGTGTGTGGATGCATGTGTACTAGTGGTTTGTTTGCATTGGCATACACAACTGCAGAAATGAATGAAACCCGTATATTAGAACCCTAACAAATGGTAACAGCTAGCTGAATCCGTTGGTCCATTACTTGCAAGAAGCAACAAAAGAGAAAGGAAAGATGAAAAGAAAAAGAAAGCGAGAAATACAGCAAAGGAGAAGTGAAAGCTGTAAACAAAGTGTAGACTCACCGAGGAATGAAGAGAGACTCGGACGAGAGCATTGAATGAAGGACCATGGATCAATGCCAAAAACAAAAACAAAAAAGAGGGGGGAGGGGGGGGGGAGAGAGAGAGAAAGTGCAATGTTCATTCATTCATTCAATTGCACACGACGCATGCAAACAAGATACATTACTTCAAAACAACATCTGCGTCTACTCACTAGTCTTCCAGAGCTGTTTTTCTTTCTGCCGTACAAACATCTGTCCGCGTTTGTTTCAGGTTTCCTGGTCTCGAACAAAAAGAGAGGTTTGCAAGAAATAAATGAGATGGAAAGAGAGAGAGAGAGAGAGAGAAGTTAAAGTCGAGGAATGGAGAAAGAAAGACAGATGTGGACGGTCGGAAATTGCAGCCTTGCATGCCGCACACGTTATGGACTCCTAGGGAGTTGGGAATTGGTCGATCAACTATCATCCTCCAATGATATACCGTAACAACTCACGAAGAAGAGACTCCAAGTCGAAAGCTAGACGCTTTCATCTTTTACAATTCGCAATCCAACCAACAATGACCAGCCCAGACAGAGAGAGAGAGAGAGCATTAGCCTTGGCATCTCTACTACAAGTCTACAACCATTTAAGTACTATGTAAAGAATTGAGAGAGAGAGAGAGAGAGAGAGGAAAACAGTAGCAGTTAATGTAGAGAAATTAAAAAACATTAAAACTTAACAGAATTCTTACTCGGTCTATGTTTCGCTGCCTGAACATGATGAACCAAAGCCTTGTACCATATAGTAGTTAGACTGAGCTTCCCGTCGGCCCAATAAAACAGCACTTGCAGTTAAGAGTGTTAGCTAGAGAAGAAGGAGAAGGAGGAATGGGGGATGGCATTGGTTTGAGCAATGGCCCATCAACAATAATGCACTAAGAAACAAGAAGTGATCCAATCTAAACACCAGCAGGAGAGATGGGATTATCTAAAAAGAAGAAAAAAAAAAGACAAGATACAAAAAGAAAAGAAGAAACCTAACTAACATCATCTCGAGGGAGAAAGGGAGAGAATTCTCAACGAAATTCCCCCATTTGATCCCCGTTGTTCTTGTTCGCCATGGTGAAGTTGTTGTCGCTGTTGTTGTTCCGTTCCGCGTGGAAAGAGCTTGCCCTTGTCCTTGTACTAGTTGGGAGTTGGGAGTGGTGAGTGACGAGAAACTAGAAGAAGCTAAGTAGCAGCGGTAGATGGTGATGCTGATCAAATTGAGAGAGAATGGAAGTAAGGAATAGCAGTAGATTGGATTCTCACTTCTTCTCGTCTTTAGGGTTTCTTACCAAGAGTATGCTTGTTGTTGTGCATCCAAACCTTAAGCACGTGCCTCTTCACACAAGTCTCCGTACAAAACTGCTGCACGGCGGCCTCGTCGTGCTTCTGAATCCTCCACCCAAGCCTCTCCGCGAACGCCAGCATCTTGTCTTTCTGCTCCTGTGTGAACTTTGTCCTGAAACGCTTCTTCGAAACTCCTCCACCGCCGCTAGGGTTCGACACGTCCTCCTGGTCCTCCCGGCTGTGCGCCCCACCTCCCGAGGTCGACGGCAGAGCCAGCGGACGATGGTGCGGCGCCACGTGGAGGTACCCCGCCGGTGTACGATAGTAGGGGGAGAATTGGTGGTGGTAGGCATCCCCCTCCGTCTCCTTGCGGTGGAAGTTCCGATGGCAGTTGCAGGCGGCGCATTTTAGGGCGTCAAGCGTGCCTTCCTCTCCGGCGGCCATGAACTCTCCACATCCATCGACGGCGTGGCCTCCGATTCCCACGGCATGGTTCTTTAGGCACTCCCTGTACCTGCTCACGGTCCTCCTACCAGAGGAAGCTGCATCACCAGCTGCACTCGCCATTTTGGCTCTGGCCGAGTTACCGAGCGAATCGTAAGTCGCAGACACTGGTATCCCCATCTCTTCATCTTGCTCTTCGTGATCGTCGAATTCCATGCTCCTTTTCCCTTCTTCTTCGACAAACTTGTTCCGTTTCTAGCTTCTCCTTATATAAGATAGGACCAAAACAAATAAAAGGAGAAAAAGCTTTTTATTAGGTAGTAGCCGAGCTGATCCACCTCCACCTCCGGCGGTGGAAGACTGTATTTTCCCTATGATATATTTTTTTTAAGAGGGTTTTTCTTCTTCAGAGCCAGAAAGGGGAAGAAGATAAGAGGGGGAGAGTGTGGTCATCAATTCCCCGCCTGCAAAAAAGAGATGTCTTCCTTCAAAGGCTTTCATATACTTTCCGTTCCTGGGAGCTGTCTCTCTCTTTCTCTCTCTAGTGTGAGTGTCTACACCAAAACCCTCACTTTGCCGGTTACTACAGCAGCAGTTCACCGTCTATAGCCGGTACCTTGTATCACATAAACAAAAAACTAAGCCGCAGGGGTACCGGGTTATTTACTGCGGTAAAAGGCAGTAGACTGGAAGTTTACGAAATTTTACTTTCCGACGTAATAATAATAATAAAAACAAATAAAAGAAAAAAATGTAAAGAAATAGATAAAAATGGGTGGTGTGTCGCGTCTGAGTTGAAACTTGAAAGGACAGGGAGGGGGGGGGGAACTGGAAAAAGAGGAGAGAAGGGCACAAGGCAGAACAGAAAGGGTTTGGACTGGACCCTCTGGACTCTGGACTCTGGATGGGGGAGAGGAGAAGTGTTTGTGTTTGGAACTCTCAATCAAAAAGAGATTGACAGCCACAGGCTGCGGCTGCTGCTGCTGCTGGGGCCGTTCACCGTTGAGTTGGGTTCATGGGGTTGGGGTTGGGCGGAGTAGGGGACGTCATATATATATATATATATATAATTTCTTAAAAAAAAAAGAAGTAAAGAACAAGGGAAGAGACGTTTAGACGTAGTAGGGAGAGGGGGAGAGGATGCTGCTGGTGATGCTTCAACAATTGGAAACAAGGGAAGAGATTAGGAGGCCCTCCGGTTGTACTGGGGACACGGGATTTTACTTGGGAAAAATTAAATTGTCGGCATTTATGGCTGCTGCCTACGTGCGTCCATCTCCGACATGCGTGACGCCTCTTGGGCGTCAACATGCATTTATTACTCCTCTAGTCCTCTCTCTCTCTGTCCCTTTAACAAACCCTCCTTCTACGATTTAAACCTCTATCTATATTTCTATTCTCTAATCTAGTATTTATACTCATAATTAATATTAATCAATAATTAGTAACTGCTAACGAAAATCAAAATCTGCAGGCAGGCTCGAACCTCCCTCTCCCTCAATCCGTAAATGCTTCCCCTATCTAAAAATAAGCCCATAAATAAAATCCCCCTCCCCCCCCGAATTGAAGGCCTCAACCACAAATTAACAACATTCGAATTCGATTCCAACTTTAAGAAAAGAAAAGGTTAAGAAAGAAAAAGGAGATTAAACCCAAATTAGTTTCAGTGAATGGAAGGGAAGAAGGGAATGGTAGCTCTGTAATTTAGAAACGCCCATTGTCCTTTTTATTTCCCAAAACTAGAAAAACTTCAGACCTGAACATGGTCTGAATAAATACTGAAAACCAGAAGAAGGAACTAATCAGGTGTAATACTGGTGTGGTGTAAGAAGGCACAGTGTCCAGTGTCCAGACTCATAACCCACTCATCTTATCCTCTCTTCCTCCACCTCTATAAGACTGTAAGTCTGTAAGTCTGTAAGTCTGTAATCAATCAACCCCTACGTATGTATAGTTATAGACATGGTTGGTATACTTACACACAATCCTGAATATATATAATACTGATCACCCAATTGTCGGTCTATTTGTTTTGATCTCCCTCCCATAGCTTAATAGGTTTAAATGATTGATCAACCACAGACAAAAGAAGATAAATTTGAAATGGGGGGGGGGGGGGGGGAAGAAGATAAAACTTAAAAGCTGAAAGATTTTTCAAATGTCTAATCAACGGCCTAGAAATCGAATTTTATGTCATTTCATTTAACCAATCACCATTAGTGGCTAAGCATTTATTGTTAAGTATAATCACAAAATAATAATGACGAAAAGCAGAAAAGAACAACCAAATCTCTGTACGTACGGACATAAGAGTGTGTTGTTGGATTTTAATCAGTCAGTATAAATAAATGTAAGAGTAGAAAAAAAAAAGAGATATTATTAGTTTTAGTTGAACTTTATTCAGAAGAGAGAAGAGAGAAGAGAGAGAAAGAGACGTTACATCTTGGGACTTGGAGGAGGGTACAGTCCCAAGAGGCCAAAGAGCAGGTAGAGTGGGAGAAAGAAAAAATAATAATAATAATTGAGAAAAGGAAGAGAAAAAAAATGATGGGCGGTCATATGGTTCCACCGGGGGTCATGTGACCCTCAACCCGGCCAGCCGGGACGTCTGACGTGACACCCTGACGCCGTACGTCAGTCCTTTCTTGTCAGCTGGCGGGAAACCGCTCAGACTGTTGGAGAGAGACTCTGTGAGAGAGAGAGAGAGAGAGTGAGACGGTATAAGTTAAGTAAGTGCGTGTGTGTGTGTGAGTAACTGTGTATATGTATACGTATGTGTTTTTAACCCTGTCACACGCTTCATTGCGCCAGTGCTGTTACTGTACACCACCAGCCACAGACCACCATCTCTCTCTCTCGTGACTTCAGTCATTGGCTTCTTCTCCAACTTCCTTTCTCTCCGTTCCGTTCGGGTCTAGCTGTTACAGTTCATGATCAGAGGTGAAGAGAGAGAAAGGGAGAGAGAGAGAGTATTGCGGAGAAAAGGGGAGTGGATGGTGACAGGACGAGAAAAGAGTGGGTCGACCGTGATTTCCATTTCTATTCTTTGGCAGCCTTTTCTTTCTTGTAAGATTGCATACACCCTTCCCTGCTTTGTACTACAAGGGGCCCCATCATTCTCTCATCCCCCCCACCATCTTCACCCAACACAAACTCTTTGGTTTCTTTTGCTTGTTAATATACCTCATTTTCTTTTCTTTAGTATAATTTGTACAACATGCAACATAAACTTAAAATAATAGTTTGTGACCATAAGTGAAAAAAAAAATAAAAGAAGATGAATTATTTGAGATGGTCAATTATTTCTTGTTTCCATCATAGATTTGAGCTTTTGATTTTCTTTTTTATATTTTGAAACTGGGCTATTTTCTTTGTTCTTATTTCCTATTTATCTCGATAGTATAATCATTTTTTAATTTGTTTAGATTAAATTAAAGTTGTAAAACTTAATATAAACAATAGATAAAAAGGAAAAAGAAGAAAAGAGGACCACTTTGGTTTGAGTTGAAATGTTAATTTCTGGGTGAGAGCCTAATTCCAAAGAAAAAAAAAAAAAACATTCTGGGGTAATTTATAGATAAAATACATAAACAAAAAAAACATAAATTCAGAGAAAACAGGGATGGAGTGCCTGACATTCCCACCAGCAGCAGCATCAACTATGGTTTGGTTGAAAAAATGCATAAGGATAAAGGTGTGTTCCTTTGTCTCTTAACTCTCCGTCTCATCATTGCTCTAGTTCTTGGTTTGTTCCTTTATTTTCTCTTTTTTCAAATAAAACATGTTATATTTTTCTTATAAATAGCAATTAGACTAAACCTTCAGATGAGATGAGAGGGATAAAATGAGTAAGAAAAAAAAAAAAAAAGGTTGGGGGGCAAGGGAGGCATTTCCAAGATAGGCCAATACATTTAAGTTATCGTGGGAAACTGGTAGTTGGCTTATGTGAGTGATATGGGGAGCATAAAAGGTTTAGTCAGATATGTGGGGAGAGATGAATGCTAATACAATGGGGGCAACCGCGTGCCTCTTTTGGGGGGGCTAAGCTATAAACCTAACATAATCAATCACTTCTTTGTTTGAGCTGACATGTTAAATTGCCTCCTCCACTACACCCTTAACCCTTTCATCAATTTGGACATCTTACTTCTTATCTATATACAACAACAGATTGAATAGAATGACGCACTAACTAGGCACTACACACCAAGCTCTCCCCTCTGCATTTCAAACTTCTCTATTAATTCTTTTTTCTTTCTTTTTTTAACTGACACTCTCCACATAAATGAAATGAAAAAAAAAACAAAATTAAATTATTTTTATTATAAAAGAAAAAGAAAAGAATAAAAGGGGAGGGCGCCGTGGGGAATTTGTATTGCTTGGGGTGATGGTAAAATCAATAACTGATAGGGTGGCTGACAAAGCCTGAGAATGCGCGGTCACTTTGTGTTAAAATGGCCGAGAGACTGAGTCCGTATCCAGTTCATCCCTTCCAAGACCCCGGATATCAGGGACCAGCATTGAGTAATTATGACCATTTATTATTAACAAATATAAAAGGCTTCCCGTATCGTATGCCTCACTTGTTTTCTAAATCATTTATCCTATTTAAGCCATCATATTCACTTCCCCTACCTATTCCCTTTTTTTTTTAATTTTGGCCTTTTCTTAGTCATATTCATATTTAAATTCGAATTTCCAAGAGAAAACTTACAAAAAGTCATATCTTGATCATTACCCGGTTGGGGGATCCATCTCTGAAACATATCATACGGAGATTGAGCATTGAGGGGGTGGATATAGCTTGGAGAGCATGCGGAGGTAAGTCTCCTCTTATGAATTAATTCTTCCTTTGCTTTGATGAATAAGCAATCATAAATTAACAACTTGGTATTCTCCCCCTCTAGTTTCTTTCTGGTAGAAGAAGAAGAAGGCACAGACATGGTAGGTATTGTTTGCTAATTAGAATTCATGGGTTGCGTATATAAATAGACTCTTGTTTATACTATAGCATTCATGGTAGCATGCAGTCATTAATTGCTTAGATACTTTACTGAGAGCAAACACCAGTCAGAAATCAGAAATCTCTACTTTGTCTATTCCGTGCTACACATAACATTCAACTTTAATTATTCAAGTCTAGCTTTGATTATTAATGATACTCAATTAACTACGTACACGTTTACTTGTGTGTTTTGAGTGGCATTAGAGTTTGTTCTTTAGATTAAAAAATGGTGTTTCAACTTTCAATCCTCTATTTCAGAGAATAGGGGGATAAGATACAGGCTAGGTATCCTTTATTCCAAGTCTTGCTTTACCTTCGCCATGGTTGACAAATAATCCATCGTTATCGTCTCTAGCTTTAATATATATATATATATATATACACATACAGAGAGTAAAGAATTAAGAAATGCCTCCGGTAATGAGGTGGCTTTCTGAAAACCAAATGATATGCGCTTTATCAGCAACTCCATTAACTAATTAAGGACTTAGTACTGTAATTTTGACTTCCTCCGATCACCTTCTTCCTCTCATATTTCCATTTGCGTCTTCATAATATCAAAGAATTGCTCCTTAATTTCAAGACTTGCTTGGCTGAAAGAATGGATATCGTCATCTATCATGTTCATAAACTGGTTAGTCTGTGATTTGATCTTAGTTTCTTGACTTAGATCTCTTTGTATTATTGTATAATCCTCTTAGCATATTATTCTTACTAGCTAATAGCCAAAACACTCGCAAGTCAGAACTTTTTCTGCGACAATTAAGGCTTTCACGATTTAGGAAAGAAGATAGAAATAAAGCAAAGGAAGAGAGTTCCCTTAGTACAAGAAAGATTTACCTTGTGCATGGAAGATTAATTTACTTGTCTTCTTTTCTTTTCGGCAGAGGCGATTTCCCATGATAAATATATATTCGTACTCCTGCACATGAAGCAGGTACAATATTCCAGCAACCAGCATGGCGGCAAAGAAAGCTAAATTATGTGCATCTAGAATCTCTTTGCAC